TGTCAATGCTCATGTGCTTGACCAGCTCTCGCAGTTCTCGGGAGTTACCACCAGAAGTTGCGTCTCGAAGAAAATCTCTGGCACGGTATTGTACACAGCTTTCAGGTACTTCACTTTGTCGGTCTTGAATTCGTTCGGGCAGAGGTTAACGCCAGTCCGTTTCGCCGTTTCGATGAGTTGAACGCATTTTTTTCTGGTAGTAGGACTTGCTGGTGATCTGCTGTCCGTGGTAACGCGCCCTAGGTGTTGGCTTCGTGCTGAGTCAAGGACGAGGCGAATCTCACTCTCATTCCACTCTAGGTCTTAGCTGTCATACCCGTCGATGTCAGCAACATGAAACTCTCATATGGTTGATCCGCATCGTGTCTCTGCCGCACCAGCGGGAGTCTGAGTCGCCGTCTCCATCTTCCTGGCATCTGTTCCGCCAAGCGAATCCAGTGCATAGAAGCTTCGTGGCTACTGCTGGCTTTGCCGATTATCTTATGCGCTCGTCCTAAGGCTCACTGTCGAGTCGGTGGTCTTCTTCGGACACTCAAGGTCCAGCACCTTCTCGAAGTGTGACCGCACAGCTTGTTAAAGTAGTTTTCGTTCCTTGCTGGTGCCGGCGCTCGGGTCGTCGACCGGCAGGAGATAGTGGTTCGAGTCCGTGTACAGCGCCCGCATAAATGTGGTCGTGCGCAGTTTGTTGCCCAGGCCGTCCAAGCTGTTGATCATGAGTGCCACGTCCTTGTTCGGCAGCACGCCGGCCAGGAGCCCCATGGTGTTGTTGATCATGCTGTCGAGCGGCACCAGCAACAGGCAGCGACTTTCACTGCCACCCAGCATGTCCATGGTGAAGCTGCTCTTGGGAAGCGCATCCAAATTGAGCGGCAGCTTGCCCAAGCCGAATGACGGTTCACGACCCTGTGATGTTTGAAAGTCGTGCATTCGAATTCGTAACCGCCTCGAGGCCAGAGAAGTGCTTCGCAAATTTCCCGAGTCTCGGTACCGCCAAGTCTTTGAGCAGCTCTTGGATCAATAACGAGATCAAGTCGGCGCTCTCCTTGTACGATATGGAACGCGAAAAACTTCATGCAGTCCTCGTCGTTGTCGCCGTGCTGCGTTCATGATATCTGACTCAGAAGTGCGGTGTTCAATGAGATCTGAGAAGGACTTCTTGGTGTTATCTGATGCCTGAGTCGAGGTCGTACCGGGTGCTGGTGATCTGGCTCGCTGCTCTCGGAGCTCATCATTTTCAGGTTCTTCTCGCTGTCGCTGCTGTCGTCCTGGGAGGATGAACGGCTTGCTCTTCGCGGCGCTCCCGAACATCGTGGTGGCCGCCGGATTCGTCTTGCTCTTCGTGGCGCCAGTGAAGATGTCGAAAGCCTCGATCCTCTTGGCGTGTGTCTTGCTGTTCTCTGGAATCTGGTCGAGTGAAGCTCGCTTGCCTACTGCTGGTCCTATGCCGTGGTGACCGTCATCATGCTTTGATTGCCTTTTCCCTTGCCTATCTTGCTTTTGTTGCCTTTGAATTTAAAACGTCGGTGGTAACCATAACCATGATCATCTTGAAAGACTCCGTATCCTTGAATATCTCGATTTGCGGTGAGCTCGCCCCAATAAGGTGCATAATCATCTTCACAATCTTCGTCGGCTCCATCTTCGTCAATCTTGACGATGGTCCCGTAGTCGTGGTCGACTTGATCCTCCCTAGTCGATGGTAACGCTGGCGATCTGGGTATGTCCAAGGATCCAGTGCTAGCTCAGGATGCTGATGTCGGTGCCGGTTCTCGCCGATGTAGATCAGCCGAAACATGAAATTCGAGATGTGGTTCGTCGATACAAATCCTTGTCTTGCTGCACCTCCTTGTCCGTGTCCGCTACCTCGTTGAGATGGTGCAGAAGGGCTGCCCTTCGAGGCTTGGCAGTCCCGAGTACGATCCCACTTCGATCCACACGTGGAGCAATGAACAGCACTAGTCTTGCTGTCGGAGTCCATCTTGTTCTTCCCATTGCCATATCCCTTGCCGCCTTTGTTCCACCAGATCTCGCTCTCGTCGTAGTGGTTGCTGTACTTGCCTTTTCCAGAAAGCGGTACTTTATGGAGCCTCGATCTCTTGAACGTCCACGACCCTTACCGTTGCTCCTGCCCCTGCCTTGCCGTCGGGAACTTCCGAAGCGAAAACGTGGGCGAAACCCAGACCTCTGGTAGGCATGCTCAAGCTCCTCTTAATCCAGCCAAGCCTCGATGTCCGCTTCCTCGTACCAGATGCCGTCATTGCCGTAGGTTCCGTAGCTGTTCTCGTCGTTCTCCGTCCAGTACTCACGGTAGCTGAGGCCGCTCTCGTCGTCGTACGTCCAGTCGATGATTTCGTCGTTTTCGTAGTCTTTGGTAATACGTCAGGACGTGTTCGCAATCATTATTGTCGTCTATGTAGTAGTGAGCAGCTGACCATGTGGTCATCTCCTGTTTGGCTAGTCTTGTCAACATGGGGTACACATTCGAGAATTTCTCTAGATCTCTATCGATGTGAAGTTTGATAATAGATATGTGGCGAGCAGGCAACCCAGATCATTTGAATATCAGGTGTGTCGATCCAACGTTCGATATCGTGAGATCGGCCTTGTCGTTCGCCTCGGTGTAGCCATCCCGAAAGATCAGCAGGTACTCCTGAAGCGTCTGATTGCCTCTTCGTGTATCCAGAAGCGATCCAAGAAGCAACCTTGCTTGTCTTGATCATGCTGCTCGAACAACTCCGTCAGTTTCTTCATCAAGCGACCAGCTCCATTCATACCTGCTTCCGGCAAGACCACTCCGTTCGCCTCGATGTCCTCTATTCTCGGTAGTGCCAAAAGCTTGTATCGAGTTCCGTCGGGTGATCTCCAGCACCGTTGCAATCGTGAAGGCCCAATCGAGCAGCCTCGAAGCGATGCTCGGGCATGGCTCCTTCTCGTCCATTGCGTCAGCCCGATCTTCTCGAAGATCAGCACGGAGTTGCCGAGGATCGTGCTCCGCCACCTATGTGTGCATCTTCGCCGCTGTGCATTATTATGCTAGAGCCTCCCTGAAAGAACTGACCCTACTCTTGATCTCAGCCAAGGACCCTAAACCTACATCACATTTCACTGTGGGAGGGGGGGAGCTTCTCGCTGGGGATGGGGGTGGGGGTGAAGGGAAGAAAGGGGGGAGCGGGAAACACCTTCGATCACTTTGCCAGCTCCTACCGTGGCCGCGGCGGCAGTTTCGGGCCCCTTTACGGCACCCCCACTGTAGCTTTCGGTCGCCCTCGCCCCCCTCCCTCTTCCCGACAACACCCTTTCCCTTCCTCTTCCCCCCTCCCCTGGCCCCCGGCGCAGTCCTTCGGCCTGCCGCCTCCAGCTCAGAGTGCGCCTCCGTTTACTCTGCGCCTCGAGCCGCGCCTGAACCTGAGCTTGTTCTTCAGCGGCTGGCACTCTTTTTTTACCATCGAAGAAGATAACCGTACAAGCATAAGTTTCGAAGGTTGGACCCTCTATCAGTTGGCGCGCGGAGCGCGCCAGCCAGCGCCGCCAGGGGTGTCCAGCGCCGATCTAAGAAACTCGCGAGGACCTCTCTAAGTTGATGCTTATCAGCATCGTTTGGCCTGCCCCCACCCCAAACGGGACAGCCGTGGCCCCGCTGTTTGACCTACCCCCACAGGTGAGAATAGGGAGTACATGGCCTCTCCGTCGGGCTTCGCCGGAATCCATCCCCGCCTCGAGGGGGTACGCTGGTGGTGCTGAGGAGCCCTGGCCCCCTTGAGGGCCTGACTACGGCGTGACGATGCGAGGGCGCACGGCCCCAGCACCACTGCATTCAGAGGGGAAGGCTGCGGCATGGCCCCTGCGTGAGAAGGCGGGGGGTGAAGCGAGCTGGGGGGCTGAGGTGGCTCAGCACTGGTTATGGCCAGCAGAGGGGGGAGAACGGGACCTCTCGTCGCCATGCCTGGACGCGGCTCGCAAAATTGATCAGATTCAACCTCAGGAGGGGTCCAGGGACCGATTCTGATAGAGTTTGCCCTGTCATACCGCCCCACTTGACAGATTTCCACTGGGCTTGTCCAGTTGAGACCCCCTTGCCGCCTCCACGGCGTTGGTGAGGACGAGGACGAGACGGGCGAAGGGGACGACGATCAGTGGTAAGGTTAAGGGGGAGATGGGTTCAGGCGGGGATGCATGGACCCCCAATCACCCATCTATCGCGGACAGGTGCCTAATAGTTTGCTTCGCCCAGACACCTGCGGCCTTGCCATCGCCGAGCTATCGGCGGCGTATCGCTGATTCAAGCTCGATGCTACCCTCCCTGAGCTAGTCCCTCTCGATCGTTCCCTTCAGACGAGGAGGAGGAGGAGGAGGAGGTGGAACCATTGCGGCCTCCCGCTGCATCGCCGATCTCAAGCTCGACGCTTCCCTCCCTTCGGCACCCCCTAGCGTTCGTCCCCTCTCAGACGAGGAGGAGGACATCGTCCAAACCCCGCCTTCAACATCGAACATCGAGCATCGAGGAGGTTGTCCGAGCCCTGCCTCCCGCTCTCCTGTTCCTTCGTTCCCTCTTTCTCCCCTGCTGTCGCCATCTCTTGGGAGGGTGCCCAAACGCGGGTCCTGCCATCGCGGGGCTTCGGGGGCCCAGGGAAAGCCCTCGCCACCGCCGCCTCCGTCCTGCCCCGCTTCGCCCTCTTCCCGAGCCAAAGCAGCGGCCCTCCTTGCCTCTCGGCCGACCAGCCCGCCTGCCGAGGGGGGGGAAGAGGCGCGTGGGCTCGGTCGGTACAATCGGGACGGATATGTAAAGAATGGCGACGAAGACCGACAGTAGCTCCTGACCACTTTGGACAGGACTTGCCGTCTGTGTCGCCGCGGGCGTTGCCCGAAGAGACAGAATGTCGCCTGCGCGACAGCATTTGCAATTGGGCATCGTTCCCTATGTTTCCGGACCCATTTCGGGCTTGCCAAGTCGTGCAGAGTGCCTGGTGAGCGTGGGGGCGCGGGCGAGACCGTCGGGGAAGGTCGCCGCGCTGCAGTGGGACGACCTGATGAAGCGCGTGGACAGCCAACTGGGGCTCTTCCAGAAGGCGGTATGCGCACTCTTCGTCTTGGAGGAGCAAGGGATCATGACTACGGTGATGCTAGTGATAATTATGGCAGTGATGATAATGGTGACTGATGGTGTTGTTGATGATGCTGTTGTTGATGATGACGATGACGGTGATCATAATGATGACGCTGATGATGGTGGTGATGATGATGTTGGTGATGGTGATGCTGGTGGTGATGATGATGATGATGTTGTTGACGGTGATGATGATGATGGTGATGTTGATACTGATGATGATGATGATGATAACGATGATGCTGATGATGAGGATTAGGACGATGACAATGACGACGACGATGATGATGATGATGATGATGATGCTGATGATGATGATGATGGTGGTGGTGGTGATGTTGGTGGTGGTGATGGTGATGGTGATGGGGATAATGATGATGATGAGGATGAAGATGAGGATAATGATGATGATGCTGATGATGGTGATGATGTTGATGGTGGTGGAGATTAGGATGATCATGGTGATGATGGTGATGATGAGGATGAGGATTACGATGCGGATGAGGAGGCTGAAGGTGGTTACGATGTCGACGACGATGATGTTGATGGTGATGGTGTTGATTGTTGTTCTGGTAGTGATGGTGCCTCATGGACGAGGATGCGGATGCTCTTGATGATGGTGGTGACGATGATCTGAACGAGGAGGAGGAGGAGGGGGAGGACTAGCCGCTGCCCGACTCGGGGGCGTGGATCCCCCAGCCCAGCCTTCGACACCGGGACAGGGGGGTCCCGCATCAGGCAACTGCCAGGCGAGGCACCCGGCGCGTGCCGTGCCATGGTGGCCGAGGTGCCCGCGGCCAAATTCGACACCTCCAACCCGGCCTCCGCCGCTGATGAGCGCTTTGGCTTTCAGCCGAGACACACCCACAATCGCGGAGACTCACGAGCTCCCCGCGACCAACGCCCGCATGATCATAATCATGGGTGCCGACAATTCTCAGTTGCAGCCTTGCACCGGCTCGCCCGATGCCGAGGACATCGCCGCCATCGTCATCACCAGCCGCTGCGCCTGCGCCGACAACTGCGCCAATGCCGACAGCCGCACCATCAGCAAGACGGGCGATCGCGACAACGAGCTGCGCGGCAGGCAAGCAGCAGGACCACATAGGCACCTCCAGCATGAAAAGGGACGCCGCCATCCCCGTCCCTTCTTGGGCCGCTTGGTTAGTTGGGCTCCCTTTTCAAACTTCACGCGCCAGCCTTCACGCTTGGGGTCATCACGGACGCACTCAAAGCCAGCGCCAGCGACGTTCAGCGCGCGGAGGAGGGCGAGGGGGAAAGGACACCGAACGCGAAGGGGCGCACGTTGAAGAGGGCTCGGGGGAGGTCATCATGCCCAAGGAGGAGGAGGAGGAGGAGGAGGAGGAGGAGGAGGAGGAGGAGGACGAGGAGGAGGAGAAAGAGCGCACGCTGGGGCTTGGCATCCCTGGCGCCAGGGCCGCCATAGCGAGGGAGGGCGCGGGGGAGGAGGACGTCCGGGTGTTGTCGCCCTGCTTCGCCTCTGGGAGCCAGGCCACATTTTGAATGCCCAGAGGCCGCGATCCAGTCGCTCGACCCCAGGGCGCGGGGCCCGCGGTCCCGCGCGGGCTGTGCAGCCCCTGATACAGTTGTTGTGGTGCCTTCCGTGCCCGCTGAGGCAGTGTTTCCCGCTGCCCGCGCCTGCCCCGAGAGGCCTTCCCCCCGCGCGGCCCGTCCAACGCTCGTCGCGGCTTCCTCCTTCCGCTCTACAGACTGCTAGCCTCTGGAGCCAGGCCACATTTTGAATGCCCGGACCGCTGCGGCTACCAGGACCGCTGCGTCTTCCAGGACAGCGCCGCGGCTATGGTGACGCCTACCGCAGGGGCGGCGTCGCACACCACGAATTTCTATCGAGCGCGAGCGCTTCAGCCGCGCACGGCGTGGGTTCCAACCCTGCATTGTTACGCAGCTCGAGCTTTTCCATCCGCACACAGCGCGAGTGGCAGCCGCCCGCTCTGGCCAATCGCGAGCGTCGCCAACGGCATACTCTCACTAGCAAGTTAGCCCACTGACCGTACAAGGATTCGCGCTCATTGAGGGAAGTGCCGCGTTGGGAGACCACCGTTTGAAGATTCTGAACCGCACTGCAGCACCATTCACAGACTTCAGCGCCGCGAATCAAGTTGATTGTTGCGCCTTGTTGATCCTGAATCGTAACAGAACACCAATCTTAGGACTTCAACACCTCGAATCAACCCAACTGTTGCGTCCTGACTGTCCTGAACCGCTCCCAAACATTAGATATTTCTGGAACGTTGACCATGGGAACTCGCGAATCTGCTGCATGGTTAAGACGAATAAGCGCGGCGCTCAGGCGAGAGTCACATTGTGAACAAGCTGTTCCCTCAATCCCTAAAACTGTTCAAACTTGTCAGGACGAGTGAGTGCGGTGCTAAAGCGGTAACCACTTTTTGATAACACAAGAAACCGCCTTCAATCAGAGAAGTCCTTACAACTTTGTAAAACAAACATACCAGGCGCGAAGCGCAGAGCCACATTTTGAAAAGGAACCACCCTCAACTGGTGAACGCCTTTACAATAGATTGCAACTAATGCACGCGGCGCGAGTGCGAGAGCCACATTTTGAAAATGGCCCTCCATCAATCCGTGAATCTCGTGCATGTTTTAAACGAGTGAGCGCGGTGCTAAACCTAGAGCCACATTTTGGAAACTACCCGCCCCTAACCCGTGACACTCCTGCAATTGTGTGCGACGAGTGTCTGCGGCGTTGAAGCGAAAACCACATTTAGAACACCGCCCTCCTTCCATGTGTGAAGTTTTTGTTGCACATTTCTCATTCAGGTCATAGCTGGTAAGATAGTGTCAGATGAAACGCCCAGCCTACCCTTCCGACTGGCCTCAGGGCGCGAGAGTGAAGAGATATTGATAATGGCATGGAGGAGAAGGAGGAAGACGAGGAAGGGAGCATGGGGACGGCGACCACCATGCAGAAATGTGTGGTCAAAAAGCGAAGCCGAGGTGCTTGCATTGCAGACAAATGCCGTGCATTGGCCCTGGGTTCCGGGACATTCAGGGCGAGAAGAGGAAGGATGGAGGTCCTAGGTCCACACATTGGCCACACATGAAGCGCATTTCGAGGTTCCGCGAATCATGACGCGAATTTGCACACACGTGAACATTGAGCGGCCTGGCGGCAGCGCGATAACGTCCTATGGACCAAACGTGACCCAAAGTTGACCCCGCGATCCCAATGCGACCCCGCGATGGTTACAAGTTAACCCCACTTGGCGACGGATGGCGACTTCGAGAGGGGGTCTCGATCTACCCAGAGGGCGGAGTCCTGGCATCTCAAGGGCTGCTTTTGGTGGCACCGACAGCCATCCTTGAGGCCTTCTTAGTTTGGACGGAGGCCCGTCCCAGGCCATCTTCACGCCCATGGTGGTCTCCCGGGAGCTCGTACGGGACAAGTTGGTGGGGATTCGCGAGCCCTGCCCGCCTGTTGATGGCAGTTTCGCATTGATTCGTCATGCTGCAGTCATCCAGCACTGCCAAGCCCGCCCTTGGGCGGATGCTTCTTTCCCGTGCCCGCCGGGGGCCCGTTGTATTCTTGACGCGTCCCATGTCCTCACCAGCCCATCCAGAAACGATCTCCAGGCGAGATCCACTGAGGTGTATTAGCATGCAGTGCAGGAGTGCACCAAACCCCGTTCGCACACTACTCCTGCGACGCTCCTCCTTTATTCGCTCTCATGTTTCTTCTCCTCTCCCTCTTACCCGCCTCTTCATCAACACCATTAGTATCACTCATCCTCCTCCGACGGCTTGACGTCCGAGATCCGTTGATCTGTGTCTTCCTCTTCGTGGCTTCCTCCCTCGCCTTCAGGGCTGAATGCTGCACCCTTTGAAGACTCGGTCTTCAAATATATTGCACACGATACTTTGTTTCAGCGCCCGCCCCTGGCAGGTGAGCAGTTGTTCGGCACACATCTTCGGAAGCGGGTGCCGAATCCGATATGATATCCTCCTCCGCGCGAGGGTTCAGAGGGGACGCCTCGAGTCCGGCCTCGTCCCCCCCCCCTCCCTCCCGCCGCACGCGGCTAGGCGCTGGGGCGCGTGCGGAACAGCGGCCGCGCGGCGGCGTCCGACAACGCGACGTCCTGCCAGGCCTGCTCCTTGCCCCTCCTCCTCCTCCTCCTCCTCCTCCTCCTCCTCCTCGTGATTCAAATCCTTCTCTCCTGGGGGAGCAAGGCACATTGAGGGGCGTCCTCGAAGCCCTAGTCTCTCACACTGACACCCTCCGTTGACAGAGCCTGGTGATCCTGGTCCTTCTTGGATTACCCGTGCACCAGCCATGGCGCCATGGCGCCAGCATGGAGGCAGCAGCAGCGTGAACAGACTCGCTGCCGTTCAGGTTCAGCATCATTCAATGTGCAACCAGTGCGGGGGAAATTCAAGAGGCGCGTCAAAGGCAATGACGACACACCATTTTTGTCCAAGCCACCAGAAGGAGCGAATCGTTGGTCCAAGGGTCGCCATCAGCACAAAAGCATTCGTGGAAATGGGGTGCAGCTCGACAAAACCAAACCAACCCAAAGTCATGCTCCAGAACCCCAAGCTGCAGGTGATCAGGTCACCGCGTACCAGAGCTTGGCCTTGCTTTGGTAAGGGTGCGAAGGTGTGGGCGGCAGCAACTGCGAAGAGGCCGTCCAGAAGCTCAACCACGCCAAGCAACAAGTCCTCCAAGCCAAACCTTTTAATCACCAGGCCCAATCGGTACGAGACCATATTGTGCAAACCAGGGATAGGACCAGCAAGCTTGAGGAAGCTGCACCAGAGAATTTCAGCATATCATCGAGTTGGTTATCACCAAGTTGGCTGACGAATACGCCGAGCTCCAGCAGACCAGCAGACCATCGCCAAATGCAACGAGAAGGCCACCCAGCTCGATACGCTCGGCGCGGGGGGTGTCGGCCCTATCAACAAATATAGATGTTCAAGACAACAGACGGGCATTCTACCACACCAGCTCCATGCAGGAACGGTGGCGGACCTTTTGTGGATTCTCAAATTCCGACCTACCTCAGGCGAATGGACCTCTGGCCAGCCGCGCTCCCTGAAAAGAGCCTCTGGCACCTCGCACATTCAGGCCAACCCCTGCCAGGGACCTCTGGCCAGCCATGCTCCCTGAAAGGAGCCTCTGGCACTGCGTGGCTTCCAGGCGAAGTCCCCTTAAAGGGACCTGTGGCCGCCAAGCCTCTGAAAGGACCTCTGGCCAGCCATGCTCACTGAAAGGAGCATCTGGCACCTCGTGGCGTCCGGTTCAAGTCCCCTTCGCTGCGTTTCCTCGCACCGCGCGCGCCTTTCAGTCCAAGTACTCCGAAAGGCATCTCTGGCTTCCAGATCGCCCTACTACTCAGTCAACGAATGGTATCCCATGCTCCTTCCTTTTCGGGGGGCGGACGGAAATGCAACATACTTCAACGCCTTCCTACTTTCTATTTCTATCTACCTCTTTCGAACGATATGACTCGCGCGTCGCAGTATTGCACACGGCGGTTGCCTTTATAAGGGAGCGGAGCGATGGCGCGAAGATAGTCGCGCGTCGCGTATCGCCAGGGCGCGATGCGCGAAGTTGGGTGACCGGCCTGGGCATTGTGCCCATGGTGCAGACATCCGGGGCCCGCGCTATGAGAACGTCACGACGTTGGATGTCTGGGAAATGTTTTCGGTCGTTCACTGAACAGTCCTTCTGTTCGACTCTTCCTTCGGCTGCGGTTGCCAAGGGGTTGTGCCTGTAGTGATGTTGTTCATTGCGCGTGTTTCGCGATCCGTTCCGAGAGCCGCTTCGGAGGAAGGAAGGGGGGAGGAGGAGGAGGAGGAGGAGGAGAACTTAGATGGGTTTAGATGGCTTGGACGGTGAGGAGGAGGAGGAAACATAGGATTAGAATAACGAAAGGGGAGAATGGAGGAGCACGAGGGATGGATGGAGGGAGGGAGGGAGCGAGGGAGGCAAGAGGTATGATGATGAAGAATGAAGACAGGGAGGAGGCAGGAGGGAGGAGGGCGCTTTACCGTCGGCTTCCCCGCACTCTTTCACAGCAGGTGCGTAGCCACGACCACCTGGTGCTGGTGCAGGCGCGCGTGGGCATGTTCGGCATCGACTGCGAGGAGATGCGGCCGCTCTCCTGTCACTTCGGCCGTCGGCCCGCGGGGGAGGAACAGATACCGCAATCGCTACCCATTCTTCGGATCGTCGATCGCTCGGATCGCGGACAGAAGTTTGTGGGTGTTCAGCTGGATTCGTTCGGGTCAGAACCCCCCTCAGGAGAGGTCTAGGGAGCAGCAGCATCGGTATCCGTTTGTTCCCCGTTCCCCCCCCCAGGCCATCCTGCCGTTGTCGCAGCGGGCCACGTCAGCTGTTGCCTTTGGCCCTCGAAGCCCTCGCCCCCAACCAGCGCCAGGGGGGGAGCGGAAGCTGACGAAGAAGAAGAAACATATGGAGAATACGCATCGATATATCGGGGGTCTATCGCCGATAGATCGGTGATACGTCCCTGATAACGAGCCCACATGCGCACTGTCTGGGCGGAATGAGTTATCGGGGCCCTGCTGGCGATCAATTTGCGAGGGGTCGATGCATCCCCCCCTGAGCCTTCCCCCTATCGTTGCCCCTGAGATTGAGCAAAGAAACGTAAGCAGAAGTATCGAACTTTTTAAGGTCCGCGCGGACTTCTTGAACCAACGCTGGGCACCTCTGGCAGCGCCGCCCCTGGCGCGCTCTCCGCGACGGGAAGAAGGTAGTTTAGCCCTGGTCGAAGAGATCCTTGCGGACCTCAGGCAGTTTGTGCTCATGCCATTTTTCTTCTTTGAGTTTTCTCTCGTGCTCCACATCATCCCATTCCTTTCCTCGCTGCTGGCCAATTTCGGCGCACGGCTGCCCTCCCCTGGCACGCTCAGGAAAAGGGCGGGGGGCAGCGCCGATTCAAGGAATTTACGTGGACCTCCGACAGCCTATGCTGCTGCAGTTTGTCTTATTCTGGGGGCCTGGATGTGCCGAGCGGGCGGGACGAGGCACCGAATGGGGAGAGGATAGTCGCTCTCGTCGTCCCCCCCTCGTATGTACCGCTCCTCCATGTTGTGTCGCCCTTTCCTCCCCCCCTTCCTTCTCGTCCTCCTCGTCCTCGTCCTCGTCCTCCTCGTCGTCTCCTTCTCGTCCTCGTCCTTCCCTAGCCATTTTGCCTCAAGTCCGCGTTCCCCCTATTTCTCTGCAGCCCTTCGGCCCATGACCGGCGGCGCTTTGCTGGTGGCCCGGAGGCGGCGCGGCTGAGGGAGAACAGGAAAGGCATGGCACGGGATGGCGTGGAGTTCGCGTCAAGGCGATCGGCGGCTCAACGCAGGGCAGGCCGATAATGGTCGAAATGGTCGGATGACGACGCCGTCCTCAGGCTCCCGGGCGAGCTGGACAGAGCCAAAGTTCGCCAGGAGGCAGCAGAAGAGGCCCTGTGCGCCGTCATCGGCGACGGCGAGGTCGCACAGAGGCTGCAGGCGGTGATCCCCGCGGTGTAGGCCAAGCTGGGGGGAAGGCCCCCACCTGGCTGGAGCGCCTGAGGCGCAACGTCACCTTCACCCCGACGCGCAGGGCGTGGACATCGTGGCGGCGGGAACGAAATGACTGCGCCGTGCCCTTCGGGGACCCCGACTGGAGCAGCGCACGGCGCCCGCGAGCGAGGCTGAGGCGGCTCCTGCGGGGGCGATGCGGGCGGAGGCCCCCATCTTTGTCCCTCTCGACCTACTTGGTGCTGTCACGCCTGGCCTCACCGATGGCTTCAGCGGGGGATGGGCGCGGCAGGACGGCACGACTCAGTACTTGCACGCGTCGAGACTGGTATCGGCCCGACGTCCAAGCGGATGGATTTTGATTTGCCCGAGTCATCCGGCGACGCGCTGAACAGTGGCCTTGGCGAGGCGCACATCATCGATCATGGCAGCGACGCCAGGCCTGTGAAACCAGGGGCGCCCAGGAGCAGCAGCGTCGCGGCTGGATTTGCCAGCGTGAAGTGGCGAGGGAGTTTGCTTGCGCGCGGTGCTGGGTGGCCTTGGTTTCCAGGGCCGCGCAGCTCTCGCCAGGGCGACGGGGCCGCGCGCGGGCCGCGGCAGGTCGGACTCAGTGACGTGCGATCCTCGTCCTCGTCCTCGTCGTCCTCCGCGCCTCCTCGTCCCCCTCGTCTTCCTCTTGCTCCAAGACCCCCCCCTCCCTCGCCGAGACAGCCTCCTCCTCGTCCTCCTCCCCCGTCGAAGCCGACGGGCCAAAGCCCCGCGGCGGCGGCGTCTCGCATCATCCCCCTCCTCCCTCTCCTCCGCCCTTCTCTTCACCTTCGATCTTCTGCACTTTCCCTCCCCTCCTCATCTCCCACCTACTCGTTGACACCCGCCTCCCGCTCGCATCTAGCATTTTTGGTGCCCCCCCCCTTTCCTCTTCGTGAGGGAGGGCGGGGGAGGAAGTGGACAGCCTGAAACCCGCTCGAACATTCACGCAACCCGCAGAAGCCTTCCCATGACCCTTCAGAACCCCAGAGCGCCCCCCTTCAACAGCCCATACTTGTCCTCCCCCTCCGTGGGAAACGTCCGGAGGCCTTCAGAATCTCCCGAGCCCCCCCCCCCCCGAATTGATTTCCCCCCGCCGAAATACCCCCCGTTTCTCGGCCTCCATCCTCGCCGAACACTTACGAAACATGTCAGCAGCCGTTCAAAGTCATGCGACACATCCTTTTTGTCATCGTCCTGCCCTTTCCGCTCACCCTCCTCTTGCACCTCATCATCCTCCCTATTCCTCTTCCTCCTTATCTCCCCTTCGTCAGCTCAGAAGGACGAGGGGGGAGGAGAAGGACGAGAATGAGGAGGGAAAAGGAGTGCAGGGAGAAGAGTGCAGGGGGAACAAGAGGGGGAAATAGCATCAGAGCACCCTTGAACCCTTCATACACCTCTAATATCCCTTCGGACCCTCCGACTATATCGTAAAACATCCCCCTTCTTCTATCCAAAGCTTTTCCCCGTATCGCCAGGCCTTCCAAACGGATCGAGTAGAGGAGGTCGAAGGATCGCGCCACATCGCAGATATACGGAACCGATGCGGCAACCGAATTTCTCCGCACCGGAAGCGCCGATGCATCACAGGCGTCGCCGATGCGTTGGCGATGCGTCGGTGATGTGGCGCGATCCTCCGACCCTATGCATTCAGACTCCAGTCAGGAGGCCTCCATTTCCCAGGGGCAAGCTGTTCGTCCCGGGCTGGCAATCCGAGACGGCTTCCATAAGGTTCGGACCGAGGGCACACCACCCGTCAGCATGCTCGTTGTTTCAGGGCGTCCCTGGAGCTCTCGACCCCTTCCGAGAGACCCGTCTGTTCACCCCGAGCAGTCTTACTTTTCCTCCGAGGCCTTCCCCTGACGGCACGTGCGCGTCGTGTCGACCCAGCGGCGATCCTTCCGCGAGCATACAAGGCTGACCTCCGCCATGGACCCTGAATCGTCCAGTATGGAACGGTCTGTTCAAGGTTGAGCTATCCACGCGGTGTCAGACACGAGCGCTGGGGTCGTCACGGCGCGAACTTGCTGTATTGCCCGCCACCCCGCTGCTCCGCTGCCAAGTCTTGCTACGCCTGTTCGCCCGCCCGTCGTCGTCGTGCCGTCGTTGTCGTCCTCACCGTCGCCGCCCGTCTTCGTCACGGCCGTCGCTGGTTTTCCCAACCACCTTGTGGTGTTGGGTCCTCGTTTTGAAGAGACGGTCCCCGCGTTCCTCTCCTCCTCCTCCCGCTGCCCCTTTCCTCCATCATCACTGTCATCACAATTTCCAGTACACCCCTCACACGTTTCGTGGCCCCATTGGGAGCTCCAACAAAAGCTCCAGTGCCGACGCCCGAATGCGTCACGCACCACCCACTACAGCGTTTCGCGGCCCCATAGGAAGCTCCACCAACGGCCCCAGTGGCACCGCCCGCATGCGTCACGCACCACCCAGTACAGCGTTTCGTCGCCCCATAGGGAGCCCCACCGAAGGTCCCAGTGGACCGCCCGCATGCGTCACGCACCACCCAGTGCAGCGTTTCGTGTCCCCATAGGGAGCTCCAGCGTAGGTCCCAGAGGCACCGCCCGCATGCGTCACGCACCACCCAGTACAGCGCTTCGTGGCCCCATAGGAAGCTCCACCAACAGCCCCAGTGGGACCCGCCCGCATGCATCACGCACCACTCAGTACAGCGTTTCGTGGCCCTATATGGAGCTCCTCCGGAGGTCCTCAGTGGGACCGCCCGCATACGTCACGCACCACCCATTACAGCGTTTCGTGGCTTTACATGGAGCTCCACCGTAGGTTCCAGTGGGACCGCCCGCGTGCGTCAAGCACCACCCAGTACAGCGTTCCGTGGCCCCATATAGAGTTCCACCGACGGCCCCAGTGGCACCGCCCGCATGCATCACCCACCACCCAGTACAGCGCTTCGTGGCCCTATAGGGAGCTCCACCGAAGGTCCCAATGGGACCGCCCGCATGCATCACGCACCACCCAGTACAGCGCTTCGCGGCCCCATAGGAAGCTCCACCAACGGCCCCAGTGGCACCGCCCGCATGCGTCACGCACCACCCAGCACAGCGCTTCGTCGCCCCATAGGGAGCCCCACCGAAGGTCCCAGTGGCACCGGCCGCATGCGTCACGCACCACTCAGTGCAGCGCTTTGTGGCCGCATAACGAGTTCTCCACAGACGGCCCCCAGTGGGACCGCCAGCATGCGTCCCGCACACCCAGTAGAGCGCTTTGTGGCCGCATAGGGAGCCCAACCGAAGGTCCGAGTGGGACCACCCTCATGCGTCCCGCAAGCCCAGTACAGCGCTTCGTGGCCCCATGGGGAGCCCCACTGAAGATCCCAATGGGACCGCCCGCATGCGTCCCGCACGCCCAGTACAGCGCTTCGTGGCCCCATAGGAAGCCCCACCGATCCGTGGCCCTATAGAGAGCTCCGCCGAAGTCCCCACTGGCAAAGTCCACATGCGTTGCCCCCACCCAGCACAACGTTGAGTGGCCAACATGGGAGCTCCACCGAAGGCCACAGTGGCAAACGCCCGCATGCGTCTCCCCCACCCAACGCAACGTTTCGTGGCCCATAGGGAGCTCCA